TTTTCTCTCTTCTCTTCTCTCTCTCTCTCTCTCTCTCTCTCTCTCTTTCTCTCTTTCTCTCTCTTTCCTGCGACGATATAAGTTCATGAATTGCGCAGAATCACACCACGATAGTTACAGAAGTTTCGAATTGATCTACGGTTAGATGACCAAGACAAAGTACATGTAATGACACTTAGATACGCTACGTGGATGCGCTAGTTCGTTAGCCAGTAACAGCAATTAAAATCCGACCGCTTAATCATCGGAACGAAGTATAATCCGCGTTACTTCGCTTCGTTGCAGTTTGGCTTGATCGCAGGTTTCTATGGCGCGGTGGACAATTACGTCCACCGTTGGTAAAATTTGATCACTGTCCCTCGCCTGTAATAAAAGACATTCAGGATCGACGTCGGGTGGCCAAATTACAAGGTTATTATGTACGTGAGGCGCACAGCGGGACGCGGAGTTATCGAAATAAGCAATTGTATTGTAAGTAATTGTATTGTAATTGTGTGTAAGTTGTGCCATGTAAGCTCCATAAATTGGCGTAATGATGCGGTCGCTATGAAAGCAATATAATTATTATAAGCTGATGAAAGTAGCACCTGTCTGCTCCTTGAGAAAGACGTTTGAAAATAGACCAAGGTTGAGACTCTCTGAAGAAGCACGTGATAGTTTATTGCCAGGCCAGAAATGGTCTTTTTAAGCGTCTGCGAAAGAGATGCAGAACTTTTTCCCACTTGTCATATCAAGCTTATAAATTTCTGCGTTATCTCATTGCGGCCCGATATCACGCAGCGTAATCTGAATATTAAAATGACGCCTTATAATTTATTCTTTTGATAGATTCATATTAATGCCGAGGATGGTAAAAGTTTGATATTGCACCAGAGATTAATTTTTATAATTTCACAGAATGAAAATTATGGAACGGGTTCTTGGAATCCAAGTGCGGAATTGGCAGAAATAGTAAAGATTGTAATTGCGGATTTGATCATCAGTTGTATCTTCAATATATTGGACGATTAACAGTACAAATACTTATCATCACAGCACTTTGGTGCCACGGAGTAGTAGCGTAAAGTGGTGAGTCAAGCGTCACTTTCAGATATCTATGTATTTAACCCAATTCCGGGAAAAACAGAGTTCGTGATTCTAACAATCTAGCTGGATCGCGAGTATTGTAATAAGGAGTAAATAAGGAGAATATTGTGTGGAAATTGTCTGTAATAACAATATTTCGAAGAGAAACAATGTTTCGTCAAAGTATCACAGAATTTAAAAATTTTAATTTCCATAATAAGTCGTGCTGAAGTAAAATAAATTGAAGTTGTATTTGTTCCTCACACATATAATTATAATATTTGAAAAAATTCATAAAAATTTGTGCGAAACAAAAATATATTCTAAAATTTTATATCTTGTAATTTTCGTTATATGAATTTATTTCGGGGAGGAGCAGTGGGGTAAGCACGCTACCGCCATTATCGCAATGAAAATCATACATCCCTTTTCCCATATTATAGATCCCTAGCATGTTATCTTAATTCCGAGATTAGATTGCCTAACCGATATTTCAAATCTGATGAATATCACCGAAGTGATCTTTTTATGTGACATCTTGAATAAATGGACACACGGAAATATTTTATTTATAGTTAGACGTATAAAGTGGCCAGCGAAACGTGGGCGAAATCCTATTACTTGCGGCGATCGTCCTAACGTCCGATGATTATATTTTCATTACGCAACGTTTCATGTGCGACCTATAAGCAGACGTGCGTATATACATTTCAAATTGAGAGCGGCGATCGAATAATTTATAGAAACGTGAAAGTGGTATTACAGTCTGCTGCTGTAATTTCTGAGGTTGAACGTGCCTGGATTGTGCAAAATCCTGTGTATAACGCGTATTGACACGGCATGGCACTGTGAAGTTGTGACCAACCGGCATTTTGCGTGAGATTTGTTTGAATAGTCAATATTTGTTATTTGATATTCTAATATTTAAAAACCTACAATTTTTTAACTCTCAGATATTGAAGCCCGTTTTGGATTTCTATATTTTTGCGCTTTTGTACTTTACGTACTTAAATTTTTAGATTTTTTGCACCAATTGATAGTCATTTGTTTTCTTAAACTATGAGGTCCTTAAATATTTTTGGATTTTTGACTTCATTAATTCGCGTTCAGCCAAGATATCTGCAAAATCTGTTTTGACGCGCAATCGAATGAAACTGAGAGGAAGGCTGACCAATGACGCAGGCTCGATAGACCTTTGGAGTTCATTGCTTCAAGTTCATTACGTTCAAGGAGACACATTCATTCTCGCTCGATAAAGCACCCGGAACGCGCGCTTGGTCCAATGTTATTGATTTCCGCTTTTTCACAAAACCGTGTGCGACGGTATTATTATCAATGCTTTTTATCATTTCCTTTTTTCGTGACTTGGTCATTTATCACTCTACAGGAAGATAAAACAGAAGTCGATCCATAGTGAACGTACCTCTTTAAAAAGGTTATTACTGGCTTTTAAATATTTTCTTTTTGGAGAAGTGTCACTAAAATAAGTTTACTTCTAATTTTTGGTTTTGCCGAGAACACTTTTTAAGCACTTGCATTAATATTAAATTATTGCAAATATAATGTATCGAAACAAGTTTTAAATAATTTTGGGAAAATTAAGCATAATTAATAGTCAAATTTTATATTTTTTTATATTTTATATTTTTATATTTTATATTCTTTAGATTTAAATGCAGTTTGTATTAACTTAAATGTTGTCTTAGAATTCACGAACTTCTGACATTTAAATTCCAAAGACATTAAAGCTTAAAAACTGCATTCTATTTGAACGTGGTCCAGAATGACTTGCACGTGTCTTCCGGCTTAAACGTGAAATATTTCTATTTAGGATGATGCGGTAATAATTCTTATTCTCCTCATCAAACATTTGCACGCGTTGCCGTTAAAATATTACGCTTCTCACGAGGAATCTCATCTCCATCATTAGTAATTTAGCTATTTTTGCTCGTTATAAGAAGTACAAAATATAATCTCTCTTCCGATTATCAATCTATCATTGTCGTTAACGTTACTTCGAATAAAAAGATCGACATTAATTACCGTTTATGATGTAACTAACATTAATCTTATTAAATTCACGCCGCATTGGAAAGCAACGTGAATAAAAGTTGTGTTATATAAGCGAGCGAAATAATAATATCCGAGGTAATAAAAAGGATTCAAATAGAGCAATGTAATTTTCTTGATAAATAAGGTCATCTTTAACCATCATGCTATCGCCCAGAGGCGATTTCCTTAAAGTATCTTTACTCCGTGCCATGTTCGCTGGTTGCAATATAGGTCGTTGTTATCGATGCGACGCGCAAACAAGATCGGTGCATCTATTTGCATGCAAATAATCGGATTCGCGCGTTTGATGCATTGTTTCGTGCGTGCGGTATTCATTGAGACGGATCCCTGTGGTGTACAACACGTCAGCTAACTCCCAAAGTCCCTACCCTAATTGGAATTTGCAGCAAGCGATATTAAACGGCCTCGCCGCGTAAGAACGGACGGGAATTTATGGCAAAGAAAAAAAGTTGAAAAGCGAGTTCATAGGTCATCGCGAAAATCGGATAGCATGAATAACGATGTCGTAAACTTTTGACTATGGATCTACATGGATCAACATAATCTTGTATCCGCAACGCATTTCCTGCGAAATAGCATCGTTATCCCGAACCAATTCACCATTGATGACAGAAAAATATTGCAAAACTAATGCAAACTTTTCAAACACAAAATAAAAAATAAATTTCACAGATAATGTCGAAGGGAGCAATATATATGCAATTTTTATGATAAGTTTCTCTTCCCATGCCTTAGTATTACCATATTCGTTTTTCTTTCCATTTTATAGTTATCGCGTTTTACGATAATAAAATCCCTTGAGTTGGTGATACGCAATGCAAATACCTAGAATATCGAAAATAGCCAAAGAGAAATTGGACGAAAATAAATGATTGAAATGACGTCTGTAATCTACGTCTGACTCTGTTCCCATTTCCGTGTATTTTTATATGCAACTGTCGCGATATCACGTTTAGAGTGGGCGAAGAAAACGGCTATTCTCTATATCTAGCGGATTACAGTTTCTGATAATGACCAGATTATCTTTCAATGAAGGCCAAAGTTCCTATCCTATTGTTATCTCTTCTTACAGAGTTTATAAAATGACACTAAAAATGTAATGAGACAGATCTTTTAGAAAATTCATAAGACAGAAATAGATTAGAATGAGATAGAAAACCGTTATGTCATTCTTTATTAATCCTTTCAATGCCAAGTTTTTACTTGCAAAAATAAAAATTTAATTTATTATTATAATTAATGTTTTTCTTGTATTTGTAAATGTACTTGGAAATATTTTCATACATTAACAAAAATAAAAATTTTAGAATTTTTTAATAATTTAAATTTAAATTCTCGATCAAGCAAAATAATTTCTTATATAACTTTTTAATTTTCAATAAACGGCAATAGAAAATAATATGTATTTACTAAGAGACAGAGTAATATACTTTTTTATTGAAAAAGTTTTATAATTAAGAATCTATGTATAAATAAATTATCGAAAAGGAAGACAAAAGAAATAAATCAATAAATTTTTAGATGAATTAACACGTAGGCTGCCGAATTATCAGCAGTAGATTCAAAGTCGGTCGATACTTTGTGCCGTTGGAAGGATGCGTAACCGACACGACTACTGCCGCGGCGAAGATGAGGTAATACTACTGGACCACAATATTATCGTGGTCACTACTCATCGCCGCACTTATTACTCGGCCGCTATATTACCATAGTTACCACTAGGGGTTGCTATTATCCCTACGTGTACCGAGTGATCAGTAACGAAGAGACCAACAGCGACGCATCCCCATGGACCTTCCTCCACCAGGCTGCGATCAATACGAGGGCGGGTAACGTGCAGCGATTGTTGTCTCGCGAGTATTGTGCACACCCTCGTGGCGTCCTGACTTCTCAAACGAGCGTTGCACCTGATATGCCATACAACTCCATATCCTCTCCATATCGGCGTTCGTTTTTCCGGTGTGAGACGAGTGTTTATTTACACGCCGCGTCCAAAGTGTTCTCCCGCATAAATGTCGCGTGTCGCGAAATACGTTGCTGTCAGGGGAAATCTCGGGAAACCCGTTGAAAGTGTAATCGCTGAATTTTTTATTCTGTAGCGCGTCTCGACGCGCGGTGCTCTCACGCGGCCAAAACGGCGAAGATGAGGAGACAGAATGTCAGGACTTTGTCACTGGTAGTGTGCACGTTTACGTATCTTCTCGTGGGTGCCGCGGTGTTTGACGCCCTCGAGTCGGACACCGAGAGGAAACGCTGGGAATTTCTCTCGGGTGAGTCCCTTCTCCGCTGTTTGCAACCGCAGATATTTTTAAGCAAATCGATAATTGATAATTAATTATTTCCGCCGTTCGCGCGGCGAAAAATGCCGCTGCAGAGATACGCCGCAATATGATGAAGAAATACAACATCACGGCGGAAGACTGGAAGATGCTCGAGATCGTGATAATAGAGAATAAGCCGCATAAAGCGGGGCCGCAGTGGAAATTCGCTGGTGCCTTCTATTTTGCCACTTTAGTATTAGCCATGATCGGTGAGTGTTGTGTTTACGAAAGTCCTAAAATTTTTTACGTTGAATATTCCAAATGAATATTCCAAAGACAATCTTAAATTTACATTTAATTAAAAATGGTATTCTGAATATCAATTTGCAGAATTATGTCCATGATTGCGCTATTGAAATAAAAAATTATATTATAATAAAGTATTGATATATAATTTTGTCTACAAGGTTACGGGCATTCTACTCCGGTGACCGTAATGGGAAAGGGATTCTGTATGGTATACGCGATGGTGGGCATCCCTTTGGGACTGGTGATGTTCCAGAGTATCGGCGAGCGATTGAATAAATTCGCGTCGGTCGTGATCAGGCGAGCGAAAACGTATCTCAGGTGCCAAAGAACCGAAGCCACAGAGATGAATCTCATGCTGGCGACTGGTCTGCTCTCGAGTATAATTATTACGACGGGCGCCGCAGTGTTTTCGAGATACGAGGGCTGGAGTTACTTCGACAGTTTTTACTACTGTTTCGTGACTCTCACGACTATAGGTTTTGGCGACTACGTCGCTCTCCAGGTAACTAATATTTTGCTAATCGCGTGGGAGAAGTAAGAGGATTTAAACGAGTCACTTTACAGAACGACCAAGCGCTCTCCAATAAACCTGGATATGTGATCTTGAGTTTGGCCTTCATCCTGTTCGGCTTGGCCGTCGTCGCCGCCAGTATTAATCTGCTCGTATTGCGTTTCATGACGACGTAAGTTTTTTTACTGACGGTGATTTGATATAAGTTTCGATTTTTCATTGTACCGTCGCATAAATTGCGCAACTAAAAATAGTTTTATTGAAACTTATAAATTATTGAAACGTTCATAAATATTTCTTAATGCAGTTATAAAACGGACAATTTGCGTTGGTTTGGTATCTCACTCTCTTTCGTTTTATACGCCTAATTACATAACAAAACAAAAATAATTTTACAATCATCTGAAGAAAGACTAGCAATATTATTATTTAAAATGTTAAATATTAAAAAAAAATATTTTTTCAATATTATTAATTTTCTTAAATCACCATTTCAGGGATTCCGGTGAAGCGCGTCGCGACGACACCGAGATGCAGTCCGTCTCGCATCACGTTCTGACGTTAGACGGTGAGGTCATGGCGGTGAACGGCAAGCTCTTGGCAAGTCACACGCCGATCGTGCACGACACGGACGACTGCGTGAGCGTGTGCTCCTGCACCTGTCTCGGTCCAGCAAATTCCGAGTTGTTGGATCCTTCCGGGTATCAAGGGTACCGACCACCTCCGATGTCAGCCAGCCTCCGGGTGAGGCGCGCATCAGTCTGATGGAGGGAGTTTCGTCGTCGTAGTCTACGTCGCCGACTATCCAAAACCGACAGTTGCGAGCTGCTCGGCATCGACGTGTAAGAGTCGGTTCCCCGCACGGAATTCCTCGAAGAAGATAACCCGAGCACTATATATCGTTTGTGACCCGTGTCCGCGAGAGACGGCTCGCAATGTAAAGATTCGCGCCCTGCGGAAAGCAAAATGTAAAAACTGGCAATGTTTGATACCTGTAATCAGTAATTGTTAATTGTTGTCCGATAATTAAGGTGAATGAATAATGTGTTCCTGCTGCATTTTCCGATGTTGCATCGATTCACGAATTTGCTGCGTTTTGATAATTAATGTTGATCAACCGCGTGTCGGTTCCTGACGGATGTTATACATGTAATCCGTGCGTTACAGTTGATTCGTCAGATATACGACGGATGACATCATAATACTTGTTCCGATTGATATGAAACGCCGATCGTTCGGAGTATTCAAGTGATGATCTATGCAATCCTAGAAGAAACGAAGCACCCGGTACCTCATCAGAAATAATAGTGAGCTCAAACTATTCGACAGATAATTCGCGCAGTTGTAAGTCGCAGTTATAAGTCATAGTATTGTCGATGTTGTACTAATATAATATGTGTGAAGTCGATTGCTTCAATAATCTAGAGGTTTTCAAAATTCGACAAATTGAATATTATCGACATTTTCTTAGCGTAAACAAATCTTCTTATGCGGGATACTTACTGTACTTATTATTTATCTAAAAAAAAATTATAATCTATTTTGTAGATTTATATTTAACTGTTAATAAAGTTTCTTTATTTTATATAATTGAAATACGTTATTGTTTGCTATAAAATATGTTTGAAAACCTCTAGTCCAACAGGATAACGCAGTACCGTAAAAATCATACACATAAATATAAACATGATAGAACAACATTCAGGCCTCAATAGCATAATATTGTATATATATATTTCCATATTTATATATCTCGCAAATGTAAAGAAATATTGCCTGAAAAAATTTGACATGATCATTTACTAAATTAGATTGCAAACGTATACCCGCGAGTCGTATTTTTTTAAGATAAAATTTTTATAAGATAAAATAAAAAATGCAGATATATTCGGGAAGACTGACAGCTCAAACTAATCGAACTTAGTTATTTTTTAAAAATAAAAATTGGGTTTTTTTTTATCGAATTGTAATGTTATTGTCTAATTTTTAAATTGTTAATTTTTTTTAAAGGAATTTTCCATTGTACTTCTTAATGTCTGACTTATATCATAAAAAATATAATTAGTAAAAAATAGCAACAATAAAACAATCTAATTCTTATATTCCAAATTTACTAACAATTTAGAAAAGATTTTGCTCTTTTCATTCTCTTTGAATGGATCTTTGCTTTATCATAATCTTGCTTTTGTATTTATATTTTGTAGAAACTCGCGCTTAAATTGAGACATAAAATGTGCGTTTAGTTACATTAGTCAAGTTACATTGACTGATGCTTCTTTGTTTATAGCCTCGTTATTGTTGTCAATTAGAAGATACATGATCATGATCGCCATGATCAATATACGCACAAATTATAATGATGTTTGTGAGAAAATAAAGCTAAAACATGAAATACAATATCATCGAAATTAGATCCTTCCCGGAACGCATCATAACGTACAGAATATTTAAATAATATATTTTGTTTAAAATCTTACCCTATCCTTTTAATAATAATATTTTGTTTAAAATTTTACCCTATCCTTTTACTCCTCGCATTTCCATTAAATCCTCTTCCATTTTTTCCCTCCATCTTTTTATCATCTCCCCCATCTCACTCTCCTTCCTCATTTTCCCTTTTTCCGGCAATCTCTGCGTCTTTTTACTTTTCTTGAATATATGTTTCCTATCCCTCCATTCTTCCGACACCGGAGCTACCAACCAACCTCGACCTGGATCCAAGGATCTATCCGGAGGAACACGAAGACGTCAACCTGGAAGAAAAAAAAAGAAATATTAAAGACTACCTAAAAAAGAGGGCAGCAATCAGAAAAGTCCAAGCGGGCAAACACCAAATTGCAAAGGAGTACGAAGTCGGATCAAAAGTATGAGTCAAGCTATATCGCAGGTCAGACGCGAGCAGACGACTCACGAGGAAAATACACCTCGTATACGACGGACCATACGCAATTAAAAAAGTTATCCGAAGAAACGCTTATCTCATCGAGGATCTGCAAGGACAACCAATTGGAATATATAATTCCAGACAATTGCGACCACACAGAGAACCAGCGTTGAAGGAGACACAAGAGGACGAAGAAAATCCAATGATCAATGTCATAACGATCGTTCCTGAAGAAATACTAAAATCTATGGAAAAAGAATGGTCACCAAACACAAGCGTGGTCAAAACCGAAACGGATAAAGACACGCAAATCATATGGAATAATGACGAGGAAATTCCATGGACAAACGGATACAATTGTTTCGAATTATACAGATTCGACAATCAGTTGGCACTAATTTGTAGGAGTATAAAGTCTAGTAAGGCTTGTGTCGATATTTGGTAGGCGGTCGAATTAAATAGGAAAGTAGTGGAGCTGTCGTGGGGCAGCAAGCTAAGTGCTGGATTGTGGTACGGAGGGATACCGAGTTCAAAACCCGGTCGGCTCCTTAATAAACATTTAGAAATCTTTAAAGATGTTTGCAAAAGATAGGGAATTAATAAATTTACATAAAACTCCAAATTAATTATGGAATATATTATATTTTATTTAAAAAAGTTTGCTTACTTAAATAATAGTTAATCAAATATATGTATATATATTTTTGTTTAAAATTTGTAATAAAAATATATATATAACATACAATAAAAAAATATAAATCTAATATATAAGTAATATATAGTAATTATATATATATATATAGTAATTTCTACTGACCTTTCAATATAATTAATTTATTTAATTGATGTCTATCGTTTAAATTTTCATTTTTAATATAATGAGTTAACCTAATTTTAGTATATAATTCTATAATAGAACGTAACAAATGATTCACATGATTGCTAAAAAAACATTGATCGTTAATATGATCTTTTAATTTATCAAATATATTATTGTTGTAAGATATTATATTTTCCATCACATTATATATAAAAATATATATATTAAAGTTATTTAAGACCTTATTTGCTCTTTTATGTAGATCATTATAGCAGTATCAACTTTTTCTGTAAGATATAAATGTAATTTTACTCGCCGCACTCGTATCGTACCCATGCACTTGAATCACGGACTAAGGAATAGAGGGACCGAGTCTAAAGTTCTAGTTTAGGCGAGAGGGGATGGTAATTCAAGCGTGCGGGGGGGACTGCTTTCCGCCATATTGATGTAGCGATTCTCACACAGAGATTCTGTGTCTGTGACATGGTTACACTCGTGTAGTGGTGCCACTAGACATAACGAGTGACAAGCATAAAGAGATTAGGCAGTTTTATTATTGTTGTATTATAAATTTTATAAAATACTTTAACTTTTATTACTCTGAGGCTGTGCCTACAGTAGATAAAATATTAGAAATAGCAATAAACATTTAATATTAAAAAGAGAAATTATTTTACATCTAACAAGAGAATAAAATATATTAATTAGTTCCAATTCTTATTTCTTAATTCATGCATTAATTTTTTCTATTCTTTTTATTTTTAAAATAAATAATTCCAATTTATTATTTCTAATATTTAATAATTATTCCTATTTCTATTTCCTATATTGTTTATTGTGCGCAGGATCTGACTTTTATTTCTCACACATACGCAAATAGTGAGTTCTATGTGTGGTGATTACTAAACGAATATGGCCGGTCCCCCCCCCCCCCCGCC